GTAGAAAAAGAGAGGGGGGGGGGGGCTTTTTAGCTGTACTACAAATTCCCTCAAAGAAAAAGTTGTACTACAAATTTGTCTAAAAAAACTGTACTACAAATAAGAGAATAGTCCCTCATTGCTATCTCATACCAATTCCCATCAATTTATATATGCTGGCAAGTTCCTTGGAATGTCAACAAGTGGCTTGACGAATAAACAGACACATGATCGGAATAGAATTTAGTTTTCAAACGCTAACTCAAAATATAACATGTTATATATGAAAAAATCATGAGGAAAATGTGTATAAATTTTAAATATACATACATACCTGAAAAATCCTTTCGTCGGCCTAATTTTTTACGTCGCATTTGTCCGAGTCAGGCACAAATGATACGCACGGTTTTTCGCTCATCTTCCCCCGTTATTCTATCTGAATCTGTTGAACGTAGACATATGACTCTAGATATATACATCATTTTCCTGTTTAATATTTCTTTTTTCTGACAGATTAAAATACTCTTCAAAATATTTATCTGTCAGATACTAACTCGAAATATAACATGTTATATATGAAAAATTCCTGACAAAAAATGTGTATAAATTTTAAATATATATACATGCGTACCTGAAAAATTCTTTCAACAGACTAATTTTTTACGTCGCATTCATTCGAGTAAGGCACTCAGAGTAAAACAGAGCAAGGATTCAGTTATTAAGATGGCACTCAAAGTAACCCTTGACCTCCAGCTCTCCTTTCTCTGGCATTTGCTCAGTATGATGATGAAAACCACAAGCTCGTGTACATAATAAAACTTGCAAAAGGGCGAAAGGATGAATAGGTTGATGACAATGAGGAGACGGAGCAATTGTGATAAGTGGCGAAATATAATTTTTGTTACCCCGTTGCAACGCACGGGCTCTTTTGCTAGTAACCCTAAGGTCCCTTATTGCTGATTTGGATCTTTGGTCACACCGTCTCATGGAGACAAGTGACAAGGACGTCTTCTCGTGGCGTTCCTACCTCTCTGCACGCTGCGCCGTGCCTATGTAATTCTGTACTTGCTGCCTCGGC